CGGGCCCGCCGGCAGGGCGCCGCCGCCCGCATGGAGCCCAACGTGCGCTTTTGGATCTCCGAACGCCAAGTACGGCCCGGGCCCGCGCGGCGGGGGAGGGAGAGGGCGTGGGCCGCGCCGCGCAGCCTGCGCCGGGCCGCGGTGACCTTGGGCAGCCCACGTGGTCGCCACGCGTGGAGGGCCGAGAGGGAAACGCCAGCTAGTCGGATGCCCACCCGCGGCGGTGGCCGAGGGTCACCTCCCTTGCAGCCTGGGCTACGGAGGGGGCGCAAGCCCGGGGCAGAACGCCCCAGGGGTCCCCTTGCCGGTGTCTGCCCGCTGCTGCAGAGGCTGCGCTGGGCTGGGCTGGAGAGGACCCGTACTCTCGGGGCGCCCAGCCTCCCCGCCCCGCGCGTGCACCCCTCGGTGCCCAGCTCGGCGGACGCTGCAGGCCTGGGGGAAGCCAAGAGGCCCCGCCTGCGGGCGAGGTCAGGGCGCGGCTGCCCAATAGAAACACAGAGGGAGCCCTGGAAGCGATTGAAAGTTTCTCGTAGCCTGAGTAACAAAGGTAGAAAGAGCTAAAATGAATGTTAATCATATACCATAATTAGCCCACTGCACCCAGAACGTTAACGTTTCAAAAGCTAAGCAATATAAAGTGATGATTTTTCTTTTAATATAAAAGGAGATTTTCTGTCCTTTCTTGGTGCAAAGCCAGGGGATATTTTAGACACGTGGTGCACCCACACTTCAGCGCTCCATAGCCTCCTGGGGACCCTTGGGCGACACCGTTTGGGGTGTTTTTATTCAGCCCTCAGCCAAAGTAGCACAAACCCGGTGTTTTTAGCTGGGGAAGTTCGGAAGCAATGGGCGTACACTGGCCAGGTAGAGCCAGGGCTAGGTCAGACCCTGCAAAATGTGGGGGCTTTTGGAGTAACCCAGACCTCCCTTCACGGGTCAGCAGAGCTGTGGCGGGGTGTCCCTGGTGGCACAAGGGGTTGAGGTGCAGCTCTGTGAAGCCCTCTGCAGCCAGTCACTGCAGCTGGAGTTTAAACCGCGGCCAGAGAGCTGACCCACTGCCCCACATGGGGCAGCAGACCTCTGCTGACTCCCTGAGATCCCCTCAGCCCTCAGCAGGGTATTTCAGTGGATCCTCCTGTTCTGCTCCCCACTCTGTCTCTGGGGAATCCTCCCACCTCACCCCCACCCTCCACCTCTGACCTTGTTGCCCAGTTGTTTTAAATAAATAAATCTTAAAAAAAAAAAAAAAAAGCCCCGGCTCTCCCTGGTGGCGCAGTGGGTTAAAGCACTGCACTGAGAAGCTTAAGCCAATTCCGCAGGAGTTCGATCCCCTCCTGCCCCGGAGGAGATCCACATGGCGCGGCAGACCTCTCCTGACCCGCCCGCTGCTCCCCTCAGCAGTGTACTTCGTCGATCTGCCTGTTCTGCTCCCCGCTCTGTTCCTGGTGAATCCTCTCGCCCTCCACATCTCTGGCCTATACTCCAGTTCTGTATGAATAAATCTTTAAAAAAAAAAAAAGCCCATATTGTGCCTTCAGTGGGGTGTCCAGTTCTGTGGACTCAAGGGAATCCTCATAACTCCCCTAAGAGGGTGAAGAAACTGATTCTGAGACCTTCCTAAGTAGTTGCTTCAAGGTCATGGGGTGGGGAGATACAGACCCATGTGACCCCAAAGTCTTTTTTTAAGGTTTATTTTATTTATTGACACATATAAGAACTGGGGTGCAGGCCAGAGGTGTGGGGGGAGCGAGAGGATTCACCAGAGACAGAGTGGGGAACCGAATAGGCGGATCCACTGAAATACACCACTGAGGGGAAGCAGTGGAGACAGCCAGAGGTCTGCCCGTCCCCCCCCCCCCCCCCCCGTGGGTGGGTCACTCCCTGTCCTGGATCAGCTTGATAGTGCTGAAAGTTAACCCCTGCGCCACCAGGGAGGCCCACCAAAGTCTTTTAAACTTCAAGAGCAGTTGATAGTGCAGTGACCAAGGGTCATTTCCTGGCTAGGTTTCCTTGAGTACATTCATGAGCACTTCTAAGCCTCAAGGTTCACCTGTGAGATGGGGATGTGGTGAGGAATCCAGGTGCACCAGGTCGTAGGCAGGTCATACAACCCCACTGGTTTCTCATAAGAAAAGGTAACTGCCACTTATGCCTGTACATTTCTGGTCTCCTGGCTATTCATCTCTCTGGTGCTCTTTTCTCCCAAGTCTTTTTTCCAGAGATTTCGTCAGTGGACAGAATTATTGGATCCTACAAATCTGGTCCTTTCAATTGTAAGTATTTTCTCATTTTTAGAAATAATGACTTTCACATTTTATTCTGGAATGTGAAGGCGTGGTCTCTTGAAAGCGTTGAAATAACAGGGTCCTTATGTTCCGTCACGCTTTTATTCCTTCCAAATGCACGGGTTTAGGCACGGGGGCTGCATGAAGGTGTACAGGTGAGGCCAAGCCCCGGACAGGTGCCGGTGGTTCAGGAGGATGAAAACAAACCTCCTGAACCACCAGGAGGGGTCACCAGCGAATCTTGGGCTCCAGGGGCCCTGCAGTCAGGGGCCCGCCTGGGGGATCCGCTTCACTGCCGGGAGGGGTGGAGGGGAGGCTGGAGTGGGAGGGGGCTGTTAGTAGGTCTTGCAACCACTGGGGCTTCTCAGTGGGCTCTCAGGAGCCTGGAGTGGCCCTCAGACCAGGAGGATTTGCACTGAGTCCGTGGAATGAGGTCTCTTGGGGCGGCTCTCTTGGGTGCCATGTGGCGGGTAACCAGAGGGGCCCAGGCAAGGTACTTAGTCCAGCTGGAGCCTCAGCTGTCTAAACGAGTGAGGGCTTCAGCGAGGTGTGAGAGAGGATGAAGAGGAGGTGCTAGGGGTGGCTGGGGACGGTGGCCCTGCCCGTGAATTTTCAGGGCCAGATCCCATCCCATTTCCTGGCGAGGTTTCCTGGAGTACATTTGCGAGCCCTTCGAAGCCTCAGTTTCCTCACCTGTAAGATGGGGATGTGGTGAGAGATCCAGAGAACTGCCCCAACCATACAGCCCTGTTTATATAACAGAAAAAAAAGCAAGAAGCACCCTGAACGCCCATCCTTGGGCAAATAGCATGTGGTAGATTCATAGAGTAGAATGCCAGGCAGCTCTTAAAAGCAGTGATCTGGTTTCAACATATGCTATTAAGTGAAAACATGTGATGTATATGATGTTAAGTGGAAAAACATGATAGCTGTGATATTGAGTGGAAAGAGCAAGACACATAAAGTACAGGAGTTATGCAAATTATAATATAAAATAACCACTACTCCACATTTTTTATGGATACATGTATTTCTGTGCGTGTAAGTACACAAATATGGACTGGAAGCCTGATAGAATGGGGAGGGAAACGGGAGTAGGGGTCACAGCTCTTTGTGGAAGAAGAAAATAGAAATAAATATAATTGCTTACAGTTGTTAAAGGGGGGATGAAGGGGTTATGCATATATGGTCATTTATTGTGTTTCCTGTATTTAATTTTTTCTTATATGAGGTAAAAAAAAGAGAGGAAATAAGACTAAATGGATTAGCTGTGGGGTGGTGAGGGAGATGGGATTTCCAGGTTTCTGATGTGGTAACCCGGGGGTGGGATCCATTCACTGAGACATCTGGGAACCCGCCCCAGTGGGGTCAGCAGCTATTGCTGTCTGGGGCCGGTCTGGAGGCCACGAGGACTCTCAGATAGAAACTGTCGTGGTGCTGAGAATGTGGCCACGTGTTGCATAGAAATCAGGCGTGAGTCATCACACCTGAATGCGGGATGAACGATGTTAAGATAATTTTATTTATTTATTTATTTTGTATCTGATTTTAGGGAAAAATAGAGAAATCAAGGCAACTGTTGTTAACCAGTGAAGATGCATACAGATTTGATTTGGAGGACCGAAGGGTAGGTTCCATGGCCCCGGTGTGTCTGGTTCCCAGCGAGGGTGGTTGTCTTCAGCTGATTCTGCTTGCGCTCTGCAATCCAGTGGATTGTTGCCTTTCTAAACACAGCCCAAAGGATCAGCTTTAGTTGAAAAATCAGGTTACTTTTTTTAATGGACAGTTGACCCTTGAACAATGCTCAGTATAACTTGACTCCTAAAATTTACCTATGGGTGTCCCTTGGGATTTGAAGGGGGCTGATTCCGGATCACCCCCTTCCCTCCCAGGGTACCAGAATCCTTAGATGCTCAAGTCCCTTACAGTGGACCCTGCCTATTAGTAGACTGGCATCAGGAGAATGTGGAACCTGGGGGTAGAATCTGAACACAGGTGGACCCATACAGGTCAAATCTGCTGTTCACAGGTCAGATGTAGTTAGATGCCCTCCCTGGTGGCGCAGCGGGTTAGGGCACTGCCCTGTAGGCCAGCCGCAGCCGCTTTAGTGCATGTTTGATCCCCGGCCCCAGAGGTGACCACACGGCACAGCAGACCTCTCCTGACCCGCCTGCTGCTCCCCTCAGCAGTGTATTTCACTAGATCCACCTGTTCTGCTCCCCACTGTGCCTCTGGTGAACCTCTCACGTTCCTATGCCTCTGGATTGTACCCCAGTTTTGTTTGAATAAATAAATCTTTAAAAACACAAAAGAATTTCTTCTCATAAACAGGGTTGTAGAGATGAGTATTACGGAGGAACCTGCATGTAGTGCTCCTGAGCTCCGGGGCGGGGTGAGGGTTCTCTGTCTGCCCCGAGACGGTGACCAACTCCCAAGCTCAGGCAGTGCCCCAAGTCACACCGTTCTCTGGGAGGCGCATTCCAGGTTGCATCCTGCAGAGATGGCCAAGTCCTTCATCACCTCTCTCCTGTCTAGGGAGCTCCCTGGCGCCTACAGACGCCAGTCCAATGAGGCAGTCTATGGAAAGCTCACGTGCCTAACTTGGTTTCTGAAGTGCCCCTCAGCGCCTCTGGGCCCACAGCCTGGCTCTGATGCTACGAGGTGGCCAGTGCCATGGGGTCTGCCTCCACATCAGTGGCACCTCTCCTGACAGGCAGGGGCCATCTACCCTTTTTTTCATTTTTAAAGATTTATTTATTTGTGCATACAGAACTGGGGTACAGGCCAGAGGTGCAGGGGGTGAGAGGATTCCCCAGAGACAAAGTGGGGAACAGAACAGGCAGATCCACTAAAATCCACTGCTGAGGGGAGCAGCAGGGAGACAGGAGAGGTCTGCCGTGCCCTGCGGATCACCTCCGGGGCAGGGATCGAGCTCGCAGCAAAGCGGCTGCAGCCATCTTCGCAGTGCTGGGCTTTAACCCCCTTCGCCACCAGGGAGGGCCCAGGCAGAGTCCATTCTAAGCAGCTGCCTCTGAGCTGGGGCTGGATTCAGGGACTCAACCCAGGACAAGGTAGGTGCTGACCAGGAGTCCTTGCCGAGGTCAGAGATGGCAGGCTCTTTAATGTTCTGGTCATTATCTCTGTGGATCACCACTTCGCTTCTCAGTTCTTACATTTATTCATTCGGTTTATTTGGTTTGGTTCTGGCCATGTGCTGGGAGGCAGCTCCGGCCTGTGGAAAGACAGAACAAAGATGGGACAGAAATGAGACGACAGTGATTTGTTGCTGCCATCACCCTAAGGCTGATGGCTGTTTCTTCTCGTTTTTCTCTTTCAAGATACAAGAAGCTTGGAAGAGAAGTCTTGTAAGTTTCAGCCCCTTCCCAACCTTTAACCTCCTAAGAGAACAAACCTAAGCCTCAGACTGACCTTAGTGTTCGCCCTTGAAGTCAACAGTGCACCCTGACAACAGCAGGCTGATCCCTGTCGCCTTTCGCCCTGCAGGTGAGCGCCCTAACTTCAGATGCAGGTTGCGGAGATACGATTGTAGCAGTTAGGAAATGCCTTTTCCCCTTAGAATGATTTCTGACGATGAGGCTGGAAACCACACCTAAAAGGAGTGTTTGAACGGTGCATGATAAGAACTGGCAGTCAGGAGGTTTGTGAGGCGTCAGGCAACCCCACACTGATAGGAAATGGGAGCCGTGGAGCAAACTGCATGGGGCAGGTCGCTGCTGAACCAGCAGAATCCTGGCTTTTTTATTGATTGAAACATCATACAGTGTCGGTTTACGTGGGGTAGGAGGACGAGGAGAAAAAGACAGGTGCAACTAAAAAAAGTGCTTATGTCATCTAGGGCTTCAGGAGACTTGAGTCTGCTGATCAGATCATTGTTATCTGGTGATGACCGAGTGTTGTCATTGAAACCTGACGGAAACCCCTGGCCATGGTTCTAATCTTATCTACAAGGCATTCGCTGATCAGCTTCTGGGGTCCCTAATCATGCATGGGTCCTCGGCCCTTCCTGGCATTCCCGGTTATGTCTCGTGATGTGTAAGGCGCGAGTATGTTTATGTATCGGTCCTCAGCCCCCAGGCATTCCCAGTCATACCTCCGATGCATACCTTTCCCAGGGCAAACAAGCTTTTTTAAGTATTTATTTATGCATATAGAACTAGGCTACAGGCCAGAGGTGTAGGGGCCATGAAAGGATTCACCAGAGACAGAGTGGGGAGCAGAATAGGCCGACTGATGAAGTACACTGCTGAGGGGAGCAGTGGGCGAGACAGGAGAGGTCTGCCACGCCATGTGGTCACCTCTGGGGTGGGCATTGAACTCGCACTGCGGCAGCCATGGCCAGCTTTGCAGTGCTGCGCTCGAACCCACTGTGCCACCAGGGAGGGCTGTAATCAAGCTTTCTGCTCTTTATGATTTGATAGGCACTTTGTAAGGTTTGGCTTCTATGACTGAGTGACTGACGGGCAGTTCTGACCTTTGTATAGGAATGCAGAACCGCAGGTAACAATAGGTTTGGGACCCAGAGCTGTGTCCAGCCCCGTGGAAAGATCTGGGCTTTGGAGCAAGGGGGCAGTCGGTCTGAGTCTCACCCAGCCCCATCATACCCAGAAGAACATAGCTAGTTCTTTCATTGTTGATCCAGAATAACTCATAAGGGCTAGTATGAGGGATTCCCATAAAATTCTCTCTTTGTTATGAGCAAGAAACTGGAGCCAACGTAAAAATCCAAAATTCAGCTGTCGTAAAGAACTCATTAAAAAGAATGAGGTAAATCCTACATGCTAATGTTGCTATTTGGACCTCCTGAGTCATGCACATTCATGACATGTAGGGTGGTGAATCCTTTCCAGAAGGTTTTCAACTGACTTGACCCAGACCCAGCAGAGGGGTCCACGGCAGCTGTAGCCTCCTGAAGTGTAATTCAGATTGAAAGTTGGAATTACACCTTGATCCATAGTCTGTAGAGTGGATATTAGCAGCTATGAAGGCAACATTGCTCTCCCTGTACATAATCAGTAAGCAGGGATATATATATATATTTTTTTTAACTTTTTTTTTTTTTTAAGATTTATTTATTTATTCGTACAGAACTGGGGTACAGGTCAGAGATGCAGAGGGTGAGAGGATTCACCAGAGACAGA